GCTGATTTGGTGGAAAAGGGGTATTTGCCACAAATGGTGTCAGAACAACTGGATAATCATGCACAAAAATGATGAACTTCAATCCATACCGGATCATCTACAAAATGCAGCTCAAGAGGATTATAGACCTGAATGTAAATCCTAAAGCTGGAGTCCATGTAGGGAGCCTTAGGAGGAAGCCTGTGGCACTGGACCAGGCCATAGTTTTTTTGGGGTGGAAATTACTGTATTTTTCCATGTATAAGACACTATTTTTTTCTGAAATTGTTAGACTGAAAATCAAGGGGCATCTTATACACGGAATTCAGCTGAGGAGGGAGTCATGAGGGTGCACAGCTGCCCATACCTTGTCAAACAGGCCTCGTCCAATCATGAGCCTTATTGTTACTGATGTCAGCTGATGCTGTAATTGGAGGTGGAGAGTGCAACAGGGACCTGAGCGTTCTGAGCCCATAAAGATGTCAGAAATAAAAAGATAAATACCGGTAAGCGACTGTCTTACTCTGCAGAATTTAAACTGAATGTGATCAGCTGTGCAAAGAGCATGGCCATAGAGCTGCAGAGAGACAGTTTGGTCCTCCCACTGAGTGTATGATCAGACCATGGAGAAAACAGGAAGAACAGCTCCTTAAGATGCCAAAAAGGAAGAAGGCCTTAAGAGGAAAACCAGAAAAATGTTTAAAATACTGATTTCTTAATTTTGGGTTGGAAAAGTGGGGGGCATCTAATGCAAGGGGTGTCTTATACATGGAAAAATATGGTACCTTTTAAAGCAAAAAAGAGAATTGATAAACTGGACTTTATAAAGATGAAGAAATTTTGTTCTTTGAAAGATACTGTTAAGAGGATAGGAAGACAATGCACAGTCTGGCAGAAAATGCCCGTGGCTCACTTCCCTGGCCCAGGACTTGTGTTCAGAGCAGATAAAGAAATTGCCACACTCGGACAGGTGAACAGACAACCCAGGGAACAGTGGGCAGCAGATTCGAAGAGACGTCACCAAAGACCATAAGCATGTGGCAAGCAAGTTTATGAAGAGATGCCCACAGCTTACTTATTAGGGAGATGCCAGTCGACACAATAATGAGCTGCCACTGTACCCTCACTGGAATGGGCAGAGACCAAGGAGACTGCTCACACCATGTTTTGGCAAAATGCAAGTGAAATTTGAACTCTGCTGCTGGGAATGTAAAATTATATAACCAGTTTGGAAAACTTCAGCAGTTTTTTGAAATGTTAAACATCCACCTGCTATACAATCCAGCCACCTTCTGCTCACATATTTACCCCAAAGAAATGAAAGCATATGTCCATATAGAGGCCTGGACAAAGAGTCTGCAGCGGCTTTCGTGGTAAGCGCCACACATTGGCAATGACCAGGGAGAGTTGCAGGTGAATGGTGCAGTGTGAGAGCTGGATTCCACGGATTCGGATGGAGGGGCCAACGACTGATCCATGTCACAGTGTTGGAAAAGCTCCGGAAGCTGTGCGAGGCGACAGAAGCCAGACAAGACTATATTACACACACTGTGAATATAAAATTCTAAATGTGCTGTCTTTGTGAACTTCGTGCGGATGTGGTGGCTGCCGGGAGGAGGGCTGGGAGTGTTGGGCGCTGTGATTATAAAGTGGGTGGAGGAAATGGGTGTGTGCTCATTATCTTGATTACGGTGGTGCTGTCACTAGTGAGTCCTTAGGTCAGAACTGATGAAATTTTACACCTTCAGTATGCAGTTTATGTCAGTTATCACTCGGTGAATTGGTTAAAATGAATATTTTTAATTTTTATCTGTGTTGTGATTCCCTTCATTGTGCATTGACAATGGAGAATTATTCTCAATCTACTTCCTTAGTTGGCCTGTGAGCTTTCACTGAGGGTGTTTCCTGGTTAACATTGGTGCTACAGAATGTCATGCGTGTTCTGCCATGCAGGATGGGATCCTGGCCCTGGAGCCAGCGCCGAAGAGGGGTTGGGGTGGGGGCGGCACGGTGCCGCCCCGCTGGGAGCCTGGCTCTGGGGAGCTGCGCTGTAGCGTGTAGGCACCTGTGAAGAAGATGAGGGTGTGGGAATGGGTGCTGCTATTGCTAAAATGGGGCAGCACTTGGGAAGAGTGGCTGCCGTTTCCCACTGTGGGCAAAGGCGTGTTTCTGAGCTGGAAGGCCATCTGTACGCTAGAGGGCTTACCTTATCAGGAAGCGTTTGGTGTGGTGCCCAAAGCATCCAGAACATGCCTGAGATGCTAGGGACTTAACAGGAAATAGAATACACAAACTTTTATCTCTTCAGCACAAATGATTGAAAACCGCAGTTTCTCTGTTTTCCACCAGACCTAACCAAAGCAACATACAACAGTCACGGTTCTCCACCAAAAGAATATAATGTGTTATGAATCGTCTAGATCAGTGGTCGGCAAACTGCGGCTCACGAGCCACATGCAGCTCTTTGGCCCCTTGAGTGTGGCCACGAAGTTTCAATCGCACTGGAAGTAACTTACTTGGAAACCCTATGGAGGGAGGTCAAGTGCTGTTGAGCAAAGTAGAGGCCAAAGACCACTGAAGTTTGTGAACTTGACCTGGAGGGCACAGCTCTGATTGAGGCCCATCAGCCCTTAGGCACATGTGTGTAGATGGTGCCCATCCCCAGCATCTCTTGGGGGAGGGGAGAGATTATTGTTGGACATGTGCAGACTGCTGGTGACAAAAAGCAAGAGCTGATACTCCTGGCAGGAAGGGAGTAGGGAAGCCATCCCGCCTGTTAGCACCTCTGGGGCTGTGGCTGTTACAGAAGCAGAAAGTCATGCAGTGCTTTTGTGTGTGCCAGGTGTGCTGATTGTCCTGCGTGCGTTGTTTCACTTAGTTCTCAACACCACCTGTAGGCTGGGTCCTCGCCTCGCTTTATAGGGAAGAACCTGCGCCTCAGTAGGTCTGGCACATGGACCTGCTGATGGGGCTGGAACCCAGGTGTCTGACACTCCAGGTGGGGCATTGAGCCACTGTCCTGTGAGCCCTTCCAGTTATTAATGCAATACAACAATCGACTCTGATGATAACCCCTTTGGGTGATCATGTGTTGAAAGTGAAGGTGTTGAAAGTCTGGAAAGTAGAAAAGTACTTTAGAACAATTTTTATTTTAAAAAGTTCAAATTAAAGTTTTTCCACTGAAAGATGTTTCCCTCCAAAATCTGTGAAACATTTTAGTTCCTGCTAAGCTAAGTAAGTTGTCAATTTCATTAAATTTGCCTACATTTTTGAATAAGAAACTGTAAGTTGAATTTCTAAATTCTGCCCCCTTCCCTAGAAGGTCAGTCTCTCTATCTAGATCAGCCGTCGCCAGCCTTTCGGACCTCGCGGGCCACCTGCTGGCGACAGCTGCTCTAGAAGCTCCACAGGGTGCACTGGCTCTTTCTGTTTGTATCCCACGCTGTTCCGGTGGACTCACGGATGTTAATTTGTAACCACCATCTTGGTCCCCGGAGAGCTCACGTGCAGTGCCTGGTGCCTGGTTTGAGAGCTGTAACCGCATAGGTTTGTGTTCTGCTCTCTAGTGGCCGTGTCCCCAGAGCCCGGCATCACGCCTTGGAAATCCGGGGGGGAGAAAGCAGGCGCCCGCTTCAAACGCACGGAATTCTAATCATAGTATAATTTTTGTCTTTGACTCTGGATTTTGTAAATTTTATAAAGATTATAGCCATCATTTTGAAAATCAGTTTTAAATTTACCTTTTTTAAAATTTTATTTTATTACCAGAGACCCGATGCAGGAAATTGAATTCATACAAGGGGCTTGGCCCTTGTAGCCACGGCGGCTGCCTCAGCCCTTATAGCCCAGGCTTGGTCCAGAAGGTCGTCCAGAAGGACATCCAGAAGGATGTCCAGTCTAATTAGCATGTTACGCTTTTATTGTTATAGATTTATTTCAGAGGGGACGGGAGAGGGAGACTGAGGGGGGGCAGGGGGAGAGAGAGAGAGAGAGAGAGAGAGAAAGAGAGAGAGAGAGAGAAACATCAATGATGAGAGAGAATCATTGATCAGCTGCCTCCTGAATGGCTCCTACTAGGGATTGAGCCTGCAACCTGGGCATGTGAGCTTGACCGGAATTAAACCCAGGACCCTTCAGTCTGCAGGCCGATGCTCTATCCACTGAGCCACACCAGCTGGGGCTCAGTTTTTTACTTTTAAAAAGTAGGAGGTGTTGGGCCAAGTTCTGTCCCAAGGACACACCTAAAGTTCTTTTTTTTTCCAAATTTGTTCTTAGTTGCTTTTTACAGGGGTTTTCTAAAAGAGTGTGGTATATGTGAGAATGGGAAAAGGGTATATAAGCTTCTCTTTCCCACTTGGAATTGCTTACTAAAACGTCTGTGGTGTGGTGTGGTGTTTTTTAAAAATCCTAGGAGCTGGCGCAGCCACAGGCTGGCTGTGAACCTCGGCCAGTCTGGTGACCTGCCTCCACCGCTGTCGTGTTGGGCGGCTGCTGGGACGAGTAAATGAGTTCGCATCATATCTGTAAATCACTTAGAATAGTGCTTGGCACATAAGGGCTCCATAAATGCTAATTATTACTTTTAGGGTTTTTATGAGGCTTAAATTAAATGAGATTATGCATGTAAAATGTTTAGTAGAGTATCTGGAATTTATTAAGTGCTCAATAAATGCTAGTGGCTCTAATGTAAATATTCAGGTGCCAATATGTCTGAAGAAGCTATGTCTGTGGGTCTCTGCACATGTCATATCTGTAGTGACCTTATTTCAGGGTGTGAGGAAAAATTCATTCCTATCTTGGCTTTTACCAGTAGGTACATGTGACAAAGTTGCACACAATTTAAATAGGTAATTACTTTCTGATTTCTAAGGTTAGGCCATTTGTTAGGCCACTCTCTTCAAGTTTATGTTTATTTTACTGTTAGAAAGCACAGCGCTCTAATGCCACAGTTTAGCGTGGCCATCTCTCCGCGAGCGTGCCGTGTCCGTCCCTGACCTGGTGTCCTCTGTGTTGCCCTCTAGGCCTGTGGAACCTCGCTTCTCTCTTCTCCAACCTCTGTTTGTTTGTCCTGATGCCCTTTGCCTTCTTCTTCCTGGAATCGGAAGGTTTTGCTGGCCTGAAAAAGGTGAGTGGCCCGTGTTTTGGAATTAAATTAGTTACGTGGAGAAGTAAGTACCATTCATGTTGAACTATAAAAAGTTGGCTGAAACAGCCATTTGACGGGAATGTAATAAGTTTAATCAATAACAACATCTTGTTACTGTCACTATTAAGAGAATCTTAGTAACATTGCTTATGAACTGACTGTGAGTCCACAGGGACCAGGCGTCTTTGACCTCTGAGTGCTCCTGGGGGTGTGCTGCCTGGCGGAGTGTGCCGTGTGGAATGGGACACCAGCGCAGTAGCTGTTACTCTCTCTTAGGCTCTCTCCTCTCCTTTGGTTTAAAGCAGGGAACAAAATTCTAGAAGCTTAGAATGTATCTTGATGTAAGTTGTTTCATGTCCAGTGTTTTCAGGATTGTAGCCTATTAGAGCATTAGACATGCTCCACGAGACAATCAGATTCCCAAGGTGCTGCCAGCTACTCCTGGGAGTGGGTAGGAGGTAGAAGTGGACCAATGGGAGACTTCGCAAGACTTTCTAAGTGGTAAGGACTTCATCCATCCTTGAATATGGTATTTTAATATGAAAGGGACATTTTTACTTATAGTCTGTGGAGCTCTTTGCTATAATTTTTGGAATATAATGTAAAGGTTTAAGTAGCTAGTACTTTTTGGGTGACTTTTAAACTTGACAAAATGAGCTTGTGTTACAGTTTATTTGTAGCACAGTATGCCTTTTCATTTTTAGTCTATTCATGCAACATATGGGGGCAAGTGTGCTCTGTACCTTGGTGAATAGTACTGCAATGTCATGTAAATAAAGTTGGCTTGGGAGATTGTAAACTGTGTACTTTTTGTTTCACGTCACCTTTTGTGGGCTCTTAGGAATGAGATTGTTTAGCCAGTGTTTGACGACTCTGTTGTACACCTGAAGTTCAGCACGTTTTGGGCCTGCTCACCAGAGGGCCCAGGAGAGCCCCTGAGGGTGAGGTGAAAGTGTGTCGGTGGGCCCGCCTCTCTGGTTTCCAGACCTGGTTCATAGGTCAGCGCTTAGTCGCTGAGCCACACTGGCCGGACATCACTGGCTTTTATTTATTGGAGTTGTTTTTTATTGTGATGCGCTTAAATGACCTAAGTCATCTATATAATGTGAAAAATTACATAGTTTAAAAAGCTCTTTGTTGTAATTTCTTGAAGAAATTATAGGAAGTGTTGTTGAAAGGGATTTCATTCAAACCCTCCTTTTGTAAGGAGACATCTGAGGCCCAGTGATATTAAATTGTCTACAAAGCTCATATGTGCAGGTGCAGAATTAGTACTAAACCCAGGGGTTGCTGCTGAGCTTCTGAAGTGTTTGTGTTGTTTGCAGCCAGCACTGCCGGGAGCACAGTGAGGGCCATCAGGTGGGAGCTGGCCAGGACGGTGGGATGGGGAGGAGAAGCCAGTGGGTTGGGGAAGGAGAGGCCAGATGAATGGCAGAGGTCGGTAGGGGGTTGCCTCGGGGCAGGTGCTGTGGGTGCAAGGAGTGGAGCAGAGCGTGCTCCTGGACCATCCCTGGTAGTCTAGAACGGCTTGTAAACTACAGCATTCAGGAGGGCCGGAAGAATGAGCATCGAGAAGAAATGAGGTGCTTGAGAAACCAATTCCATAGAATTTGGGAGCCTTTGATGAATATTCATTTATCTGACAGTTTTACTAAGCATGTACTAGGTAGTAATCATCCTGCTATTACAGGAGCTTGCCAGGGACAGAAATGGAAAGACAGGCTCCTGACTGGAAGGGTGCCGAGGGAAGTCAGGCAGGTGAGTAGCCTGCGGGGTGGTGGACTGTAGACTGCAGCCGCTGCGGAGGTGCAGAGGAGCAGGTCCTGGTTCCGCGAGCCCTGAGAGCCCCGGGAGGTACAGAGGCTGCCTGCTCTGGAGCTGGGACCCGCCCGCAAAGCAGGAGGAGTAGGCGGAGCAGGAGGAGTAGGCAGGTGTTGGCCTAGTGCAGTGGTTCTCAACCTTCCCAATGCCGCGACCCTTTAATACAGATCCTCATGTTGTGGTGACCCCCAACCAAAAATTATTTTCGTTGCTACTTCATAACTGTAATTTTGCTACTGTTATGAATCATAATGTAAATATCTGATATGCAGGATGTATTGTCATTGTTAAAAATTGAACATGCCCTAACCAGTTTGTTGGCTTAGTGGATAGAGTATTGGCCTGTGGACTGAAGGGTCCCAGGTTCGATTCTGGTCATGGGCATGTACCTTGGTTGCAGGCACATCCCCAGTAGGGGGTGTGCAGGAGGTGGCTGATCGATGTTTCTTTCTCATCGATGTTTCTAACTCTCTATCCCTCTCCCTGAGTCAAACCGGTTAGGGCAATAAAATATATATTTAAAAAAATTGAACATAATTAAAACATAGTGATTAATCACAAAACAATATGTAATTGCATATGTGTTTTCCGATGATCTTAGACGACCCCTGTGAAAGGGTCGTTCGACCCCCAAAGGGGTCGCGACCCACAGGTTGAGAACCGCTGGCCTAGTGCATCCCAGGCATGAGCAGTACGTGAGCTTCTCTGAGAAGGGGAATGCCTGGTGCGGAGACTGGTTGAGCAGCCCGAGTCCTCCGCCGGGTTGTTGGGATTTTATGGGTAGGTGGCAGGGAGTGGGCACAGGACTTCTGTAAAGGATTTTTGCATCTACTGTTTTATCTAAGTCACTAAAGGAAGGTGAGACCCCGTGTGGTGGTGGCACCAGCATATGAAGATGTCTCACCGCCTGGCCCATCACATAGCGCTGGGGCACAAGTCCCTATAGTCACTGTCGGTGTTTGCCTTACACATGCAGAACTCTTTTTTCTGTCTCTGCCGTGTGTGAATCTGCCCACTGCAGACAACAACCTGGAAAGCTCAGTGTTAAATATAGTTTCACATTTGGTCTCATAGGTGTACCTACTTTTATGCTTTTTATAAAAGTCTAGTTATTAGTTAAATAATTTTTTAAATATATTTTTTATTGATTAAGATATTACATATGTGTCCTTATCCCCACGTTACCCCCTACCCCCCGCTCGTGCCACCAACCCCCTGTTGTCCGCGTCTATTGGTTAGGCCTATATGCTTGCATGCAT